GATCAAAACTTTAACAGCATAAACCATGATCAAGAAAAACGTTTCCAATGTCCATTAAAGCCATGTTTATTGCAATTACTTCTGAATATTGACGCAAATAATCTTCAATCATCATAAATCTGAACCTATTCCATAGATATGCAGGATTTTCAGGCTGACAAAAAATGCAGATAAAGGCAAAAGTACTCCGAAGTTGTGACGTTTGATATATTGATCCCTCTTCTAAGCATGATTCCCACTCTTTATCAACTGATAACAAATTTCTTTTAATAGCTGCCTCTTTAAAAGTACTCATTAAAATTCCATTAATAGTTTTTAAATAATCAAAACTTGTAGCCCCGCAAACATGAAGTAATAATAATCGAAGGAAGAATCGTTCATCAGAATTAGGATGAACGGAATACATTCTCGAAATTACATTTAATCGTTTTTTTCTTAGTTTCCAATGGTAATTTGTAGTGCTGTAAACATTTTTAAAAAAATCGAACGCGTTCGCGTTCAACGTTCATTGACAAAAATTGAACGCGTTCACGTTCACGTTTAAATTCAAAAAAAGGAACGCGTTCAAGTTCATGAACGCGTTCATACGTTCAAGTTCATGAACGCGTTCATACGTTCAAAATTTTATGATAAATTTTTTTTTTAATTTAATTTAATATAAATAAATGCCTTATATTTTTCAACAAAATATATTAGCCATGATAAAAAATAATAGTTTTATTTTGATAATATAATTATAAATACAATATAATAGAGCGATAAAAAAAAAATTTATAAAAAAATTTTCTTATTAATTTTTAATAATAATTGCTTTTCAAAATTTTCATCTGATAGGCATGAACGCTTGTCAGTTAATACAGCGTTAGCTATACTAAAAACTCGCTCAACAAGGGCAGATGAAGGGATTGCGGTGTTATACTTGATAAACAATTCTTTTAAAAGGGGGAATTTATTAAAAACATTTAATGTTTTATCCATTGTTTCAAAAAATTGAGCTATGTTATCATCATCCAATCTGCCCTCTTCTTCCTCGTCAAAAAAAAGCATATCTCGGAATTATTTTAAAACAGTGAAATATTTTTGATATTTGGGCCATGGTAATTCTAATTCATCTAATATTGAATTTTGATTTTCAGAATCTGATGATGAAATATTTATATCCATGCAAATGCTAATCTATTAAATTAAAATATAAAATATTCAAATTAATAAACTTTAATCTTATCTTCTCTAGCAGTAGCACTATGGTACGTTAGTTGCAATATGAAAAAGGAAAAAGTAAAAACAGCCGATTAAAAAATATAAGACTTTTTTGTTAAAAAATTGGATTAAATATTAATTTTTCAAATAAATAAAAATATAAGACTTTTTTGTTAAAAAATGCGGATTAATATTAATTTTTCAAATAAATAAAAATAAAAAGTGTTTTTAAAATTGAACGAACGTAAAATTGAACGCGTTCATCAAAGAAAAGGAACACGTTCAAAGTTCGTCAGAAAAAAGGAACGCCGTTCATCACCTTTTTTCAAAAAAACGAACTTCGTTCACGAACGCGTTCATTTTGAACGCGTTCGTTTACAACACTAGTAATTTGTAAACACATAATGATAAGGTATTTCCCCATAAAGATATCTAGCATTTAGATCTGTCTTATTTAACTCAAACCATGCCGTTAAAGTAGTATGTTTATTTTCTGATCTCAATAAAGCATCTCTTTCATGTCCAGCAGTGAAATATACTGGCTGTTGTAAAGGTAAATGAATTCCTAAGCGAATAACAGCGTGCGAGCGATCATGCATATTATTTTCTTATAATCTCCACATTGATTCACATGCACTCACATATCGCGCATTTAAATGTGATTTAATTTCGTCATGAATATTTATATTTGAAGCAACATTAATGTCAACATTAGTACAGTCATAGCCCTTATAAATATACTTAAAGATATATTTTACCGATTTAATAGATGTACAAATTTCCACGTTAATATGAGCATTGAATTTTAACATTAGATATCGATTATATGGAATAACATAACGATTATCCGTAGGTTTACCGGAAAGAATTGTAATACCATTATCTCGCCTTTTATAATATGGATACCCATCAATATTTGGTCTTGTTTCCATTTGAAAATCCTTCGGAAATTTTTTGGTACATATGCCATTTTCCATGCAAGGCGATTTGGGGTTAAATATCCCGCAAGGACCATGTATCATAAAATGAGTAACAATCTGAAAAAGTTTAGGATCGAGAATTTTATCTGGCATTTCGGCACAAACAAATTTATCTATAGCTTGAGATGTTTCAATTTTGCTATCATCGTTTAAAATAATAAGTATATGGGCATGAGGCAAACCTCTTTTTTGGAACTCGATTGTATATATAAAAGCCATAGATTTACCAAATAAATTTTTTTTATTTATATCGAACAATAATTCATTTAATTTCAATTTAAAAACACTATTAAATCTGGTCTATCTGTAGGACTTTGCCCGGGAAATAGATTTTCCTTAATTTCACGCCAATTAGGATTGCATGTAAAAGTAATAAACAAATCAGGTTTGCCAAATTTGAGCACAATGGCCATTGCATCGTGATAGCGTTCTCGCATATTTCTTTGAGAACCTTGAAAAGATGATGGTAATATTACTGATTTGCCGGGAATTATATTGTTTGACTTTGTTTCCAAGTAGTCCATTAATCCAGAATATTCATCTACTCGTAATTTTGGCTGATTTTGTCTAATAAAATTTAAATTATTCGCCTCGACCTGTAAATAGGAATCAACAATATATTGTTGTGATAATTTCCCAGCAAAAAGGATTGGGTTGAATTCATTTTCACGAATTGCTAATCTAAATATTTTAAACTGTATTAGTGAGATATTTGCCCTTGTACGCCCTGTATCTTCACCCTTTAAATCTGGTTTCCAACCAGGGTCACCAAAAGGAAATAATAGAGGATATACCATTGGATCAAGATTAGGGCTTAATATATTTATATTTATCAGATCACTACCATCAACTCGAGGATAGACCTTGATATCCCGTTTAAATGGGGGTTCACCATCATCATTTGTAAAAATCATAGCTACTTCATCTATATTAGGAATGTTATATCTTCGCTTGTCACTTGAGCGATCTGCACAAAAAATCAATTGATTTTTTGAACTGGACGATTTTCTTGAATAGCCCTATTTTTTTCTTCTTTCTCAATTTCTCCCAAGGTTTTAAAACTAATAGAAAATGGGTTATTCTGTCTTATTAAAATATCTAATCTTTTTAAGAGATCCTCATTGCAACCAGAATTTTCTTTCATGTGTAACCTGCCATTAACAGCCTGGGTGGTCTCAAGGACATATAGTTGTGCAAATTTAGGAGGCATCCCAGTGGAAGGATATAAATGAGATGTTCGGTGATAAATTTGCCCATGAACTCTAAAACAATATGGGCCTGGGTTTAAACTATTAGAAATCTGTGCTCCCATGGATGCGAACGCAAGTAAACTATTATAAGATCTTATATATTTCATAAAGTTTGAATGAAATTCATTGTTAGGATTAGATAAAAGGTCTTGTAAAAAAGGAATATATCGGATTGATGGTATCTTAACTTTACCCTTATGACAGCAATTCTTAAATTTGCCATCTGTGGGTTTTTCCAATAAAAAATTTAGAGAATCGCAATAATCGCACTTAGTGTTGAGTAATCCACAATAATGTTCTTCTACTAATGATTGTTGTGCAGAAATATTTATCTAAAATAAATAAAATAAATTTGAGGCCTGCTAAAAATTATACATATAATTTAATATTTTTGTGATTATTCAGAGACCTGCAGATCCGGTGTAATTGTAAAATCAATATCATCAAAAATCAATACGTTATTGAATTTTATAAATCTTTGATTCGACATTTATATATGAATCACAAAATTTTATAAACTCAATCAATAAGGTCCATTTAATTTATTTGAATTCATAATATCATTTATAAAACTTTGAATCAACAATTATATAGCACTTCACAAATTACAAATAATGAGTAAACAAATATAAAATATATAGTATATCAAGAATTGTAAAATAAATAAATTCCCTGATAAATTATATAAAAGAATAGAAAATCATATTTATCATTTTAATATATTTAAAACTATTAAATCTATTTTAAATAAAATTTTTACAAATCGAAAATGGCTGCCAATATTTATAAAGCGATGAAAAAATATATAATAAATAAATATTTTATAATTTTAATGGTCGCCAATATATTTGAAGCGATGCAAACATCTTAAAAATCTATACGGTATTGATTCTACAATAGCAATATATCACTACGGTATTGAATCTATAATGATATTAATACGGTATTGAAGTTACAATGGGTATTGATTTCACAATCAATACACCGGCTCTGATGTAAACATATTCCAGGCTTATAATAATTTTTTCTAAAATATTCCATGGGTAACGATTATGTAGCACATACTTATTTTATCTTATATTTTGCCCGTCAAGATGATAGTGAAATAAGAATTTTCTTTTTTATTAGTTGATGAAATATATTTTTTATTGTGGACATAAATTAAAATTAATAACCATTCGCTTCATAAATAAATAATAAATTTTGAATTTCCCCTGATGATGGATAAATCAAAAATTTTCTTATCTATCTTATGAGATGTGATTCAGAAATTTATATTTATTAAAATATTTGTTATACATAAATTAAAATTTTTAACTTGGTTTGTTTTTATTGATTTGGGTAGATTAGATTTTGGTGAATAGTAGATTTTGGTAGTGTCTAATTTAAAAAAATTTATTTGTTAACATAAATTAAAATTTTTAACTTCGTTTGTTTCTATTGATTTGGGTAGATTAAGATTCTGTTGAATGGTACATTTCGGTAATATGATTCGTAGAATCTAATTTAAATAAATTTATTTGTTAACATAAATTAAAATTTTTAACTTGGTTTATTTTGATTGATTTTGGTAGATTAAGATTCTGCTGAATGGTACATTTCGGTAATATATATCGTGGAATCTAATTTTAAAAAAATCTATTTGATAACATAAATTAAATTTTTTAACTTCGTTTGTTTTTATTGATTTGGGTAGCTTAAGAGTCCGTTGAATGGCACATTTCGGCAATATGATCCGTGGAATCTAATTTAAATAAATTTATTTATTGTCATAAATTAAAATTTTTAACTTGATTTGTTTTTATTGATATAGGATCACTGAAAAAATTATACTTAGATATTGCACCAAAGGTATCTTGTGTAGGAATCTAAAAAAAATAATAAAATAGATTTTAATGGCCCACAGTAATGTTCAACTTGTTCTTGATTTTCAATATCTTCAAGATGATTGGATGTTGAAGCAAATTGTTCATTTCCAGTATCTTCAAGATGGTTGGATGTTGTAGGAATAAGACTTTGCTCGTTCCTTTTCTTGATACGACAAAGTGCCTGTCTCTTTCTAGCTTTCTCCTTATGTTGATTTATTATTAAATTTTAAAAATATAAGAATTACTCAATTTTATAAAAATAAGTTTAGTTTAAAATATTTATTATTGTGGACATAAAATAAAATTACTAAATATATACTTCATAAACATATTTATAAAAAATAATGGAAAATATTAGAATAGCCCCTCACCTAATAAATATATATTTCGGAATCACATCTTAAAAATATAAAATTTGCTCTTGTTGAAGCAATAATGCCTTCTTTAGATTTTGGTAGTATGAAACGTTCCATTGTTTGGTTTTGTTGAATGGTATCTTGTGTAGGAATCTAAAAAAAAATAATAAAATAGTATTTATAAAAATTTTAACTTACATTGCCTATGAGATAACCTTAAAAAACTTATTTAATATTATATGTATTTATTATGTAAGTTTGTATTTTGTGCAGGAATCTAAAAAAATAGTATTTATAAAAATTTTAAATTACATTGCCTATGAGATAACCTTAAAAAACTTATTTAATATATGTATTTATTATGTAAGTTTGTTTTTTGTACAGGAATCTAAAAAAATAGTATTTATAAAAATTTTAACTTACATTGCCTATGAGATAACCTTAAAAAACTTATTTAATATTATATGTATTTATTATGTATGTTTGTTTTTTGTGCAGGAATCTAAAAAAATAGTATTTATAAAAATTTTAACTTACATTGCCTATAAGATAACCTTAAAAAACTTATCTAATATTATATGTATTTATTATGTAAGTTTGTTTTTTGTGCAGGAATCTAAAAAATAGTATTTATAAAATTTTTAACTTGCCTAAATCTGCCACTTAACGTGTAAAATAGAATAGATAAATGAATTTTCAAATATAAAATAAGATGCTCAGATAAAACGTAAGTATATGTAATGTTCAACTTGTTCTTGATTTTCAGTATCTACAAGATGATTGGATGTTGAAGCAAATTGTTTATTTCCAGTATCTTCAAGATGATTGGATGTTGTAGGAATAAGACTTTGCTCGTTCCTTTTCTTGATACGACAAAGTGCCTGTCTCTTTCTAGCTTTCTCCTTATGTTGATTTATTATTAAAATTTAAAAATATAAGAATTACTCAATTTTATAAAAATAAGTTTAGTTTAAAATATTTATTATTGTGGACATAAAATAAAATTACTAAATATATACTTCATAAATAAATTTATAAAAAATAATGGAAAATATTAGAATAGCCCCTCACCTAATAAATATATATTTCGGAATCACATCTTAAAAATATAAAATTTACTCTTGATAATGCCTTCTTTAGATTTTGGTAGTATGAAACGTTCTATTGTTTGGTTTTGTTGAATGGTATCTTGTGTAGGAATCTAAAAAAAATAATAAAATATGTATTTATTATGTAAGTTTGTTTTTTGTACAGGAATCTAAAAAAATAGTATTTATAAAAATTTTAACTCACATTGCATATGAGATAACCTTAAAAAACTTATTTAATATTATATGTATTTATTATGTATGTTTGTTTTTTGTGCAGGAATCTAAAAAAATAGTATTTATAAAAATTTTAACTTACATTGCCTATGAGATAACCTTAAAAAACTTATCTAATATTATATGTATTTATTATGTAAGTTTGTTTTTTGTGCAGGAATCTAAAAAATAGTATTTATAAAAATTTTAACTTCCCTAAATCTGCCACTTAACGTGGGTAAAATAGAATAGATAAATGAATTTTCAAATATAAAATAAGATGCTCAGATAAAACGTAAGTATATGTAATGTTCAACTTGTTCTTGATATTCAGTATCTTCAAGATGATTGGATGTTGAAGCAAATTGTTTATTTCCAGTATCTTCAAGATGGTTGGATGTTGTAGGAATAAGACTTTGCTCGTTACTTTTCTTGATACAACAAAGTGCATGTCTCTTTCTAGCTTTCTCCTTATGTTGATTTATTATTAAAATTTAAAAATATAAGAATTACTCAATTTTTTAAAAATATGTTTAGTTTAAAATATTTATTATTGTGGACATAAAATAAAATTACTAAATATATACTTCATAAACATATTTATAAAAAATAATGGAAAATATTAGAATAGCCCCTCACCTAATATATATATTTCGGAATCACATCTTAAAAATATAAAATTTACTCTTGTTGAAGCAATAATGCCTTCTTTAGATTTTGGTAGTATGAAACGTTCCATTGTTTGGTTTTATTGAATGGTATCTTGTGTAGGAATCTAAAAAAAATAATAAAATAGTATTTATAAAAATTTTAACTTACATTGCCTATGAGATAACCTTAAAAAACTTATTTAATATTATATGTATTTATTATGTAAGTTTGTATTTTGTGCAGGAATCTAAAAAAATAGTATTTATAAAAATTTTAAATTACATTGCCTATGAGATAACCTTAAAAAACTTATTTAATATATGTATTTATTATGTAAGTTTGTTTTTTGTACAGGAATCTAAAAAAATAGTATTTATAAAAATTTTAACTTACATTGCCTATGAGATAACCTTAAAAAACTTATTTAATATTATATGTATTTATTATGTATGTTTGTTTTTTGTGCAGGAATCTAAAAAAATAGTATTTATAAAAATTTTAACTTACATTGCCTATGAGATAACCTTAAAAAACTTATCTAATATTATATGTATTTATTATGTAAGTTTGTTTTTTGTGCAGGAATCTAAAAAATAGTATTTATAAAAATTTAATCACACCTTAAAAATATAAAATTTACTCTTGTTGAAGCAATAATGCCTTCTTTAGATTTTGGTAGTATGAAACGTTCCATTGTTTGGTTTTGTTGAATGGTATCTTGTGTAGGAATCTAAAAAAAATAATAAAATAGTATTTATAAAAATTTTAACTTACATTGCCTATGAGATAACCTTAAAAAACTTATTTAATATTATATGTATTTATTATGTAAGTTTGTTTTTTGTACAGGAATCTAAAAAAATAGGTATTATAAAAATTTTAACTCACATTGCCTATGAGATAACCTTAAAAAACTTATTTAATATTATATGTATTTATTATGTATGTTTGTTTTTGTGCAGGAATCTAAAAAAATAGTATTTATAAAAATTTTAACTTACATTGCCTATGAGATAACCTTAAAAAACTTATCTAATATTATATGTATTTATTATGTAAGTTTGTTTTTTGTGCAGGAATCTAAAAAATAGTATTTATAAAAATTTTAACTTCCCTAAATCTGCCACTTAACGTGGGTAAAATAGAATAGATAAATGAATTTTCAAATATAAAATAAGATGCTCAGATAAAACGTAAGTATATGTAATGTTCAACTTGTTCTTGATTTTCAGTATCTTCAAGATGATTGGATGTTGAAGCAAATTGTTTATTTCCAGTATCTTCAAGATGGTTGGATGTTGTAGGAATAAGACTTTGCTCGTTACTTTACTTGATACGACAAAGTGCATGTCTCTTTCTAGCTTTCTCCTTATGTTGATTTATTTTTAAAATTTAAAAATATAAGAATTACTCAATTTTATAAAAATAAGTTTAGTTTAAAATATTTATTATTGTGGACATAAAATTAAATTACTAAATATATACTTCATAAACATATTTATAAAAAATAATGGAAAATATTAGAATAGCCCCTCACCTAATAAATATATATTTCGGAATCACATCTTAAAAATATAAAATTTACTCTTGTTGAAGCAATAATGCCTTCTTTAGATTTTGGTAGTATGAAACGTTCCATTGTTTGGGTTTGTTGAATGGTATCTTGTGTAGGAATCTAAAAAAAATAATAAAATAGTATTTATAAAATTTTTAACTTACATTGCCTATGAGATAACCTTAAAAAACTTATTTAATATTATATGTATTTATTATGTAAGTTTGTATTTTGTGCAGGAATCTAAAAAAATAGTATTTATAAAAATTTTAAATTACATTGCCTATGAGATAACCTTAAAAAAACTTATTTAATATATGTATTTATTATGTAAGTTTGTTTTTTGTACAGGAATCTAAAAAAATAGTATTTATAAAAATTTTAACTCACATTGCCTATGAGATAACCTTAAAAAACTTATTTAATATTATATGTATTTATTATGTATGTTTGTTTTTTGTGCAGGAATCTAAAAAATAGTATTTATTAAAATTTTAACTTACATTGCCTATGAGATAACCTTAAAAAACTTATCTAATATTATATGTATTTATTATGTAAGTTTGTTTTTTGTGCAGGAATCTAAAAAATAGTATTTATAAAAATTTTAACTTCCCTAAATCTGCCACTTAACGTGGGTAAAATAGAATAGATAAATTAATTTTCAAATATAAAATAAGATGCTCAGATAAAACGTAAGTATATGTAATGTTCAACTTGTTCTTGATTTTCAGTATCTTCAAGATGATTGTATGTTGAAGCAAATTGTTTATTTCCAGTATCTTCAAGATGGTTGGATGTTGTAGGAATAAGACTTTGCTCGTTACTTTACTTGATACGACAAAGTGCATGTCTCTTTCTAGCTTTCTCCTTATGTTGATTTATTTTTAAAATTTAAAAATATAAGAATTACTCAATTTTATAAAAATAAGTTTAGTTTAAAATAATTATTATTGTGGACATAAAATTAAATTACTAAATATATACTTCATAAACATATTTATAAAAAATAATGGAAAATATTAGAATAGCCCCTCACCTAATAAATATATATTTCGGAATCACATCTTAAAAATATAAAATTTACTCTTGTTGAAGCAATAATGCCTTCTTTAGATTTTGGTAGTATGAAACGTTCCATTGTTTGGTTTTGTTGAATGGTATCTTGTGTAGGAATCTAAAAAAAATAATAAAATAGTATTTATAAAATTTTTAACTTACATTGCCTATGAGATAACCTTAAAAAACTTATTTA